GAAATTTTTCTTTGAAATCATTCTTCATGATATTTCCAACAATTATATCATCGATTTTATAAATCTATTTCATTAGTTAGAATTTTGAATTTTGATATATAGAATCAATTAATCTGAAGTCATCGATAAATTGATCTGGAGGAAGTCAGAAATAAATGGAAAGTATTGTGTATATTCTCTTTTGTACAAACTTGATTTTTAATCTACAAAGATTTATGAAAATGCATAGCTCGTGATATGAAGTGATATCTAATGACAAGATCATCCTTTATTTAAGTTTAGTACCTTAGTTTATGTACATATTCAACAGTCAAGTGATAAATATCTATTAGCTGCTTATCAAGGATATTTAAAAATATTTCATTTCCTAATTAAAAAATTCAATTTTAATCTCATTCATAATATCGTAAACTATGTCACGCTTTTACAGTAAATAGATTGCTTCATTGTTCATTATTATTGTAATCTTTACCCAACAAATATTTTATCAAACTTATAAATAATATGTTTTTCATGTCCATAGACGTCATTTATATATGAATTACGCAAGTCATATGTTTGTCTTAAAAACTTGGTTTCATCGTTAAAAAGTTTGTTATAGTAATAGCAATAATTGTTGAAAGTTATTGCTATCACGTACATACGATTCATTTACCATAATAAGTAAAACGTAATGTGAAATATAAATATGTAATATATTGAAGTTGACATGATACTTTTTAAATTATAATATTCAATATCTTTAGAGAGCATATAAAATTTGATATTAAACTGAATATCACATTATACATATAATTATCAATTCTGTAAAACTTGCCATTTTCAATCAGTTTGTCATGATTAGATATTGTTAAGTATAGATAAACTAGCACTTGAGATTAAATTTCTATCAATATAGTTATTTAACGACTTAAACATATCGGAGGGAATTAAAAAATTACATAAATATCATTAATTTTATGATGTTATAAATGTAATTATAAACTCGGTATAATATATTGTATTTTGTGTATACAAACATTGCAAACAAAACGCTATTTTTGAGTAAAAAAAATTATATGTATTACTGACTATTAAGTCGTCTTGTTTTAATAGTAATTTATTATTATAGAAATGATTTCTCGAACAAAGCAAAGTACTCACGTATGCCCAAACCTGAGAAAAACCTTGGTGTTGTTGAAATTCCGCGTCTTTTTCAAGAACTATGCAAAGGATTTAATTTTTCGCAAGGGTTGACAAATTTAATGAAAAGAAATATTTTATCATAGCCACACCGAAGCTATCATGCAAATAAAAATATTATGTAAAAGGTTGACAAGATTTCTATTGAAGCCGTAATCGTTACAATTTAAAAGAAATTGAACATTAATGATATTCGAATGAATCATTTTATTCGAACTTTCGTACTTAATCAAAGTCTCGTGCTTATTTCAATTCAGGTCAACTATATCGTCTTGGATATCTGAAATCTATTGAGATGACAAAGAGATGAAAAGAAAGTTTCTCTAAATATGTAAATGTATTTTAATCCAGTTCTTCATCGATTGGTAAAACAAAACACTTTTATTGATATGTAGAGAAATAGAGGGTTTAATGCTGGCCAACAAATAAGATAATGCTTATCAAGGCCACATGTTAAAAGGCATTAGATGGTAACAAAACAGAGATAATAAGACAGAGTGATGTCTGGGTGTGTTCGAGATTGTTCATTTCAAGTCGATGGAAAATATACAAGTTAAGTATGTGATGCACTATATTTTAGGGGTCAATGATTTTACAATTACATTTTCCATATTAAATTATTTCAATATATCACAATAAATTCTCCCGTTCTTATTGTTTGATTATTTATTTGGTAGCTTCAGGTACAGTAGTCGCTACATTTTTTGCCGGTATAAAAATATGTTTGATAATAATCGTTACAGGAATCTGGTTAACTTCTACAAATCCAACTTAAAAATAAGTTTTTACTATTAAATTATATAATCTTCCACATTTGACATATTCATGTAGAGGCAAATGATGCCTAATCACAGAATGCTCAACTAGGACGAGAATGGAAGAATTGAATATTCGAAAAACAATTTCGAAATTATTTTTTGAGCGATATCTCAAACTCGTTCTAATACGTAATTATACATGTACTTTGTACAAACAGTGAGATCCCCTTATTTGTTGCTTCAATATATGTATTTCTTATATAAATCATATATATATATAT